TGGATTCTTCGGTCCGCTTTTGAGCAAAACGGACCATAAGTAATAATCAACATACAGATGATCTACCAGAAGATATAAATGACACTCGAGATTGATACTGCGTAATTCCTAACTCGTTCATTTTTGTATCAAAGTCATCAAGTACTATAAGTTGATGTCAATCGCCTTCTTATGGGACATCCGGGTACTTAACTGGTTGACGTCTAAGTCACCCGGATGTGTCTGGGACTTCAGGCGCGACCTACGGATTTATTACCCATGTGGTCAATGTATGGGTAGTTGCATACTAATCTCGTACGTCACACGATTGTCGTATCGCGTTGACCTGTGTCGTAACGACTTGACCTGAGATTCTAACGACTTGGTTGAATAACCGATGACCTCTCAGTTAGGTCACGTTGTGACGGAACTACTTGTTCATTCATAACAAACACGTGAATTCATTCATTCTACAACTCATTCGTCACCACTCGCCCCTTTCCGTAAACCCCAAGAAGACCCGTCCCCCTATCGATGCTTTTTATGTGCGAAAATACGACAAACCAATCAGAACGCGCGTAAATCAGCGCGGTGCTTTGATAAAAATAATCCCTAATACTTAAATCGTTTATGGCATTATGTCATTGTTTAAAAAAATCATGAAAAATATATATCGTCATATTGAAAGTACAAAGAAAGTAGGTAGAAGGATTTTGCTGCCTATTATGAAGTTTTTAATAAGAATCATGCGATTGACGGCGAGAGATTCAAATACACGCACGTGCGTTTGTTGACATAACTGCTCTCATGGGTCCAACTGAGTGTATTTCTGACGATCTTGCGGGCTTGTTATGGAGATTGTACGTGCGCTTCGACCAATTTTAGAAAATGTAATTATAATCGCTACCAGTTTCAAAACAATAATATCGTATTTGTATGTAACTAATCAACCTTAATCTTTAACATTGTGCTTAAATTTCATATCTCTGGGGATATTTTAGTCTGACTGTTTTTTGGTCATTCATATTTTTTTCAGTGAATTCATTTGAAATTCCACCAGGAGTGTGACAGCCTCAAACAGTTCAGTTTGAGAAATATTTAAAGTCATTTTTGAGAATCTTGCTTTGGGATTTAATGTAGCTGAATTTTTATTTTATTTGTATATTCAATAAAACAATTCCCATTTGTGATGATTAAACCCTATTAAGAACCCTATTAATTAACATAATTGGAAATATAAGGTGAACAGCTGGTAATAATTACATTAGAATATGTCTTTAACAAATATGTTTTTCTCCTTCTTTTAGTTGTATCAAAGAGGTTTAATTCTTTAAAATAAATAAGTGAAAAAAAACAACAAAAACAACAACCTAGCAATACAATGTACATGTGCTTCGGTGATTTTTAGAAACATTGAAATCAAACAGGGATAGAATTATCGTTCTTGTTTAAAGTAGTTCTGATGTTCATGCGCCAATATGAAATCCTTCCAGAGGGGCACGAGTCGCTGTTCGGCTTGTCACGGAATAACACGAGTTGGTCACGAATGTCTACAACTTTGATGCATTGTGGGGAATTTATAGCTAAAACACATGGAATTATCATGAAACGGCCCTCCTATTATCAGAAATTAGCGGGCCGCTGCAAATGATATTGGACCGTTCAACCTTAACGACGGGCCACTATCAGTTCTGTTGTCAAGTGACGTCATAGTGGGTTCGTCGGTTCATTCGACATTGGCTTTGGACTGGCAGATATTCTGGGTCAAACAAGTCAAAGCTACCCGAATTCCCGCTTTAAATAGCGGTAATATTGGCTTTCTTGCTGGTGCTAACCTTAACAATTGCACTATTAACGTTGTTGTTGGACAAAAACCGAACACTGGCATGGTTTGGAATGTTGCAGGCTATGGTCTTGTCAAAGGCCAAGGTCGAATATCGTCACTTTCTGTTGTGACGTCACTTGAATTGTTTGATGACGTAATAGACCGATCCAGTCTGTCAATCAAAACTGGCGCATGCGTCAAATTTGGCCAATCAGCAGGCCGGGCGCGCAGTGTGGATTTGTCGGAGTTTTTTCCGGGGTCAAACGATGCCTACGAAGCGATGTGCTTCGAATTATGCCATTTACACTCGCTATATTTATTACATATTGCTGCGACTTGATGTGTACCTTTAACAAACCATTACGGTCACGACAACAAAAATGGAGGCGGATCAAGAAACGCGATAGGCCTAACGATCAGTTAAATGTCTGCACCATCGTTCAGGAAACCTACGTCTGCCTGCTGATGAGAATTTGCACGAATTTCCACACTTTTGCACATGTGCAAAATCATTACCAATTGATGACAACAAATAGCAGTTTAAGAATTTGCAAGTGTTATAAACACGGACAATTCTCGTAACTACAAAAATTTTTTTGCTTAACGTGTTTAGTCACTACTAGGCATTGAGTTGGTACGCCATAAAGCTCAAATGAGACAGGCGAGAAAGCCGTGACACAATGTAAACAAATCTCCATTTCGGTTACGGTCAACCGAAATAGCAAAACTTGTTACATGAAAGAACAATGTGGCGGATATTGTCCCCTTCGCTCTTAGATATTCTTCAATTTGTCACACATTTTAGGATGTTTTAAGTTTCATAAGCACAATCTGAAGGCCTACAGTATCTTGTTAAACAGAACAAAATATTCGAGGAGTAATATTTTTTATTCAAACGGAAATATTGTCAGTGTCAGCAGTTGCCTATCATGCAATATCCAAGTATCAAACTTAATTCATATGAGTGCCTATAAAACCATGCTTTAAATATTTCAGCTATTTTATAAAGAGTTGCATGGGACTTTGAATTGAATTACCTTCCTCCATGTTGATCGAATACGAAAACTATGTGAGAAGAATATAATAGTGATCGACTTTCTGGAGTATTGGACGGAGTGAAATAAAGTGTATATCTTAATTATGAGAACATTATTTGAAGTTTTGTTACCACATAAATTATTCACATATATTGGTACATTTTAGGAGTAATATTACAACTGTAATTTTGATTAATTCACTGGAAATGATAGCAAGGTATGTTTTAAGAATCTTGCTTTTTTTAGTAAACGTGGAAGGGTAATAAAATTAATAATAATCTAATCAATAATAAATAATTATTTAATTGATTGACATATCAGATTCTTATGATTTTAAGGCAGAACTAGGCAAACAAACACCATACATATCATGGCAGGACAATCACTTGGTGTTAACTTAGTTTCTTGGCTCCTGTTTTTAGATGTTTTTTTAAATACTACATTTACTAATAAGATAATTCTGAAAGTGATTGCTAGTATCATAACTCATTAAAGTTATTTCAACATCCAGAGAATTTGATAAGGCAAAGGCTACGTTTTGGTCAAACCCTGGTCATGCATTATCCAGTCTTGCAGGGCCCTAGATTTTCGAAGATTTTTAGCGCTAAGATAGTCGGAAGTACCATGCATTAACATTAACTTACGACTATCTTAGCGCTAAGAGAGCTTCGAAAATCTAGGCCCTGGAACAGAATAACTTACAAAAATCTCAGTTGACTTTTCATGTAACGGAATAAATATTGAAACATATATTTAACCCATATTTGATGTAATTCTTCTCATAAATCATCAGTTTTTTAGGAGGTTATCAATATTTGAAGACTGAACCAAAGCTAGTGTTTATTAAGATGATGGATTTTGACAAATTGTTCAAGGTTTGTTGATGGTTATTTGGAAAATGAGCTTCATATTAAATTGCACACTGGTTTGTAGGAGGTGAATGCTTCAGGACATTTTCATGTCTGTTTTCCTAAACCTTTGTTATGACTTTTAACAAATTTTGAATCAACTTTACTATAATTTTTATGACACCAGTAAGTATCTCAGAAAAGGAAATAGATCAAAATCAGTGTTATGTCCTCTAGGGATTATCGGCCGGGACTGGATCGGTCTATTGCATTCGGGCAGTCAACCCCGTCAGAAGTTGGTTTTGAGTAAACTTACACTCAATTCCTTCATTATTTCCTTTTTCTTTTCAACTCAAATTCCATGTATTTTAGCAATAATAACGGTAATGCTATTTTTGAGGGCATTATCATTTGTAGAAGCCCTCGGTCTTTTTCAACTGCCCTCCTTCATCGGACAGTTAATGGAAGACCGCGGGCTTCTGCAAATGATAATGCCCTCAAAAATAGCATTACCCTTATAGTAAACAATGCGAACGTTGCCGTGTCACTGTTTAATTGTGAGTCGAACTGAGACATTATATCCGTCGAAAAACATAAATGCAATGTTTCCACCAGTGATGTTAGCCGAGTGAAGCAGTTGCAAACCAAGAAACGGGGTGCTACGGAGTAGTTTACTGTAGGAGGCTGTACGAGAGGCGATGACAACTGACATGCATCGTGACATCGGTTACCAAGGGGACAGACGAGAATGGCGTAGTGACGTCAATACAGTGTGACGTCATGCAAAAGTGTACTTCAGAACAAAATTCTTCCGCAACCTCTTTATGAAACCATGAAATATTAATATTCCCTCACTGTGTGTGTTTGTGCCTGGGGCAGATCCATCGTAAAAAATAGCATCCATTATTTTAATTGGATGTGAAATCCCAAATAAGGATATAGTTTAAAGATTTGTGCGCTTATTTAGCAGTACTCTACAAAGGTATGAATTCCCAGTTTGCTGCCATTATGATTTTCAGTATATGTGATATTAAATGTAACACAACATTTGTGTCAGCACCATTCTCATGTTCCTGGATTTAACTGGGCGGTGGGGTAGCCCAGTGGTTAAAGCATCCGCTCGTCACGCTGAAGACCCGGGTTTGATTCCCCACATGGATACAATGCGGGAAGCCCATTTCTGGTATCCTCTCCTGATATTGCTGGAATATTGCCGAAAGGGGCATAAAACTAAACTCACTCACTCCTGGAATTTACCAAAGGTCACTTGAGGTGACCAGTTAACATAATAACCAGATGCTGAAACTAGGGAAACATTCATCTCTTTATTATTCCACTAGAGCTTGAACAGAGGAGGGATGGAGACATGGAAGCAGGGATGGTTGACATCCACTGCTACATCGTCTTGGATGATAAACTGCTGTTGATGCAAGCAAACCCATTTCATAAAACCGTAAAATATCTTCTTAATGATCAGGGTGGATCTACAGCAAGATATTAAAGCTGATCCTGTATTGCTGAAATGTTAAAATGAACCAACACCAGCGTAGTTTTATCACAGATTGGACAATATCCGAGTACACTGATAAAAATTGTTAGTTTCCAAACGTTCCACATCCTCAGTCTCCAGAAAGCATAGAGAAGGGGTTGCTGACATCCGTCTCTTCGATGCTCTGATTGGCTGATGCACTTGATGAGAGAACTTCCTCTTCATCAGTGTCACTGGATAATGTTGTGTCAATTTCTCTCCGATATCCACGCAAGACAGACTGACCCCTCCTCAGTAAGACTGTCACTTCTGGGTGATTCCGCCAAGTTTCTGACAGTAAGGAGGTTGTAACATTAATCCACAGAAAATAGTTACAATTTATAATGAAACATTTGGGATTATACTTTCTCTATAGAGTTCAGATTCAAGTACTTTTTCTGGTTGAACTTTCAGAGGGGTACACAAAGTATGTAGTCCAGACTACCAGTCATCAGACTTACATTTTGTGGAAGGTGTGGTGGCTGAGTGGGTTAGATCGTTGACATTGGGCACTGGCCATTAGGTGCCTCATTCTGTGTGTTAGTTCAAATCCCAGATGGGTCTCTACTCCCCAAAGTACTAGAATCTGTACTTTACTGAGAAAATGAAGTCCCAAGCATAACATGTTACATTTGACCACTTTCTAAATAGCATGAAAACATTCCTTTTCTTTGGGGTTGTCCACGTCTGCTACACATTCCAATGACTTCAGTATGATTAGCCTGCCTCTCTGGTGTATTGGTTAGAGCATCTCAGAAGGTTGCAGGTCCAATCCCTTTGCCGCATCATACCAAAATATGGCACAGTATTCGGCATGGACTGGCCCGCTTGGAGTAAGCATAATGTGTCTGAGTGGGGTATTCCTGCTTAACTGTGGCATGGTAGAAATGTATAGAAATGTCAACATATGTACAAAGGGACAGCACTCTGCAAACATAACCACTCTGACATTAGTCCTTACAGTTCAGTAGAAAGGGGTTCTATTTACAGGGATTGTTTTTCCTATGAAATATATAAAATATTTATATCTGATACTTGACCATTTTACAAGTTAACACCAGATCTTTCACAGCAGGCATGTTGGATGTATACGTACCTTTACTCTCTGTGTAGCCTGGTGGGGTGAAGTTAAGTCGTAGCCGCCCTTCTACCGTCATCCTGAGAATATGATTGGCTGCTCTGTAGATGTCGGGACGTGCCCCTCTGGCAGTGTTGTAGCCACACTTCACTGCCCACTCTGTAGATATCAAACACATGGAGGTAGTCCACAGTAGATTATTATGGGTGAAGGTCATACATGTAATCAGCTGTGTGTTGTGTGTTACTCAGTGAGTGAGTGAGTTCAGTTGCCGCACTCAGCAGTATTCCAGTTATATGGCGGTAGTCTGTAAATACAGTGAGACCCCGGATATCCAGACACATTCGTTTTTATGTAAATCGTCCGGATAACTGAATATCCGGATACCTGGATTTCTGTCATCCAGGCTTAGGTGTTTGAACGGTAGCGAGCATACACTTCTGGTTTAAAATCACTTCCAAAACAGCATGGTCATTTTGATTTGCCAATTACAATTCACTCTGTGTCAGATAGGCCTAGTAATCACCACCAATACCCTGCTGATCGATCATTAATCTGGATTAGCAGACCTTGTCTCGTGTCAAAACACCTGGAACACTCGCGCTTCACTTCACACGGTCAGCGGAAGATCAAAGCTTCGTGCGGATAAGTGAGTCAATTTTGTGTTGATTTAGCTGGTTGGTTTGTAAAATTTACCATCCAGGAACATAAATCGCATATATAGACAGTCACTTTTATAACGTAAGAGATTGTTTTTTTATGAAAATTGACCGGAAGGCGAGGTATCCGGATATTTGGGGTCTCACTGTAATCGAGTCTGGACCAAACATTCCAGTGATTAACAGCATGAGCATCAATCTACGCAATTGGGATACAATGACATGTGTCAACCAAGTCAGCAGGTCTGACCACCCGACCCCATTAGTCGCCTCTTACGACAAGCATGAGTTACTGATGATCAATTCTAACCAGAATCTTCATGAGATAAGTTATGATGTTGACATATAGATATCTGGTAAATTTTACCTATGCATATGTCATATGCTGTCCATTTTAGATCTTTTACGTTCAGCCGATTTGTTTTGGGATGTGTGAGCTTGAGGATGAGAGTGAGGTCGATCCTTGATGCCAGGAATGCGATACACGAGTACGGGTCTCTCACATGAGCCACAGGGAAAATACCAGCCAGAACCTGAAGTCAATATTTTTATTAATTAACATATAAATTAATTAATTTATGGCTATTTATAAAGCGCCTGATAACCGGATAACCCAAGCTGCCTGTGAGGCTCTAGAAGGTTATAGTCACTAGACTTCTCCCACCGGGTCCCCATTCACTGCTGGGTGAACAGAGGCAATTTATGAACAAACTCACTTGCCTAGGGTGAGACATGTGTCACATGTGCTTTTTGTGGGAAATTATTTTCAATAATTCTCACATTATAATGTTAGCTTCATTGTTTCCATTGTTTGCAAAGAGACCTATACCAACATCGCTTCACTGTTGCACAGTCTTCCTCCTTCACACCATCTTCTAAGTACATGAGTAAATAAGCCTCAGAGACTTGTTACATAAATCTACTTTTGTTATTTGTGATCACTAAGGGGCGGTGGGATAGCCCAGTGGCGTTCGTTCGTCATGCAAAAAACCGGGTTCGATTCCCCACATGGGTATAATGTGTGAAGCCAATTTCTGGTGTCCCCTGCCGTGATTCGGGACTCACTCACTCTGATGACTAAGTACTATTTTCCTGACCACACTAACAGCATTGATTACAAGCATAGGTGATTATCAACACCGAAAACCAAATAAATGGCATCGATTCAGCTGAAATATTCACACGTAAATATTTTCACCTGCAATGGTTTCTCTATGAGAGACGGGAAGACAAGTCCAGGGCAGTCACATAACTTGACTGTTGGTGTTAGGAAAATAGTCTGGAAATGCTTTGTGTGGCCTGGTGTCTTTGACACACTCACAACCTGCAACACAGAGAGAGAGAATATAGTCTGAAAATGGGTTGTGTGACCAAGCAGCTTCAATTCACATCCTGCCACAGAGATTACTTTGTTACCATGGGTACATTATTAGAAATGAGTTCAAGAGTCATCAATATCAACTTCACTGATTTGTATTTACTATCCTATAAAGGTCACACAAGAACAAAGTGATAGAAAAGAAAGTATAAGACTATATCAACCGACATATTCACAGCATGTGAATTAATTATTAATTGAATGTAATTCAAATTTGAATTTTAATCAAATTTAAAATTTAATTCAACTTTAAATTTTAATTCAAATTTAATGTTAATTCAAATTTAATTTCAATTTAATTTAAATTCAGTTCAATTAATAGATACTTAAAACACGTTATCACGTTAATATCAAACTTTTTTCACCTTTTTCCCAACCAGGCCATTGATGAGAGATGACTTGCCAACATTGGGATATCCTTGCAACAGAAATAAGCAAAGACATTACAGTTAGTTTTTTCCACTGTTTAACACTTCACTCAAATATATTTCAGCTATTAGATAGTTATCTGTAATAATTGAGTTTGGACCAGACGATCCAGTGACAATCCTCTTCGTTACTTCTTATGACAAGCATGGGTTACTGAAGACCAATTCTAACCAGAACCTTTTAGGGGAATGACATTACATTGAGTTAGTATGGTTTTACACAGCTTTCAGCAATATTCCAGCAATATCACCGTGGGGGACCCCAGAAATGGACTTCACATATTGTACCCATGTTGGGAATCGAAACCCTGGTCTTCTGCGTGATGAGTGATCGCTTTAACTACTAGGCTACCCCACCACCCCTGAATGACATTACAATAATACTTGATAAAGCAACTAAACTCTCTGTGCAGAACTGAATTACTTTAAAGGTTAGTAGTGAGTGAGTGAGTAAGTTTAATTTTACACCGCACTCAGCAATATTCAAGCTATATGTCGCCGGTCTGTAGATAAACAAGTCTGGACCAGTTAATCCAGTGATCAACAGCATGAGCATCGTACTGCGCATTTGGGATACGATGACATGTTCAACCAAGTCAGCGAGCCTGACCACCTGATCCCGTTAGTCGCCTCTTACAACAAGCATAATCGCCTTTTATGGCAAGTATGGGTTGCTGAAGACCTATTCTACCCCGGATCTTCACGGGTCTAAATGTTAATAACAAATTTCGGTGAAGGGCAATGAAAATTAGCATCAGTGTCTTCTTTCTTAAGAGAAAAATCTATTTCTTTAATAAATCAAAAAAGTATGATGATATTATTACTTAAGAAAACTTTCAACTTACCTACACAGCCTATTGTCAACACCCCATCTCTGAACCTCACATGGCCGTTGTCATCTGCAGGTGATGTTTTTCCAGGTGATGCTGGCACCTCACCTGTGTCCACATCTGCATCTTCATCCTTGTCAACCTCCTGACCTTCAACCTTTGACCTCCAACTGCTAAGGTCAACTGCTGTGAACAAGATTTTCTATATGCTTTCTCCAATCATCTACAATGAATTTTAACCAAACTCCTTGAAAACCAACAATGGGAGCTCACTGCATATGATTTGGCAATCATCAGCATTTGAGCGTTGGACGTCAACCACAAGTGAGTGATTTTATTTTTATGCCGCTTTTAGCAATATTCCATCAATATCTCGTCGGGGACACAAGAAATGGGCTTCACACATTGTACCCATGTAGGGAACCAAACCTCAGGTCTTCGGCATGGTGAGTGAAAACTGAGTCCCCCTCAGCCTTAGACATGAATTTCAAGAGGATCAGTGGAAACCATACTTCACTGGTCTTCTGAGGATACAGAGGAAGTATTCTCTAATCATCTACAATTAATTTTTAATCAAACTTCTTGAAAACCAACAAATAAAGAGCACAATACCTTAAAAAACAAAGAATATTGTTTTTGTTTATTTGGAGTTAGTTTAATCATAAACCAAGGGGGTTTAACTACATACCTGTCCCATCAACAAGACTCTCACAAGCCTCTAGAAGTTCCCTTGATCCAACTGACTTAATTTGTCTTCCCTTTTTGTGGCCTTTGATGAGACCTGCAGGATAAAGATGGCCAAAAATAATCCCATCGTGAGGATACAATTAAGTTTTAGCAGCCCATGCTGGTCATAAGAGGAACCTGAGAACTTGACTACCACAATACAAACTAAAGCCCTTCAGTGACTGATCCTTCTCTGTTGCAGGTTGATCCTTGCTCTGTTGCACAAGAAAGTAAGTGAGTTTAGTTTTTCGCCACACTCAGCAATATTCAAACTACATGAAGGCAATTTGTAAATAATCGAGTCTGGACCAAACAATCTAATGATCAACAGCATGAGCATCGATCAAGCAATTGGGAACCAATGAGGTGTCAACCAAGTCAGCGAGCCTGACCATCCGATCCCGTTAGTCGGGTTACTGAAGATCAATTCTAACCCAGATCTAAACATGACTGGTGCAGGTTACCTTGTAATAGTAACAGGTTGCACTCGGTGCAAGTAGCAATAACTCCTCCAGAGTCTTATAGCTGTCATCATGTGTTTTAATGGGTATCCCATGAGGATGTGCTGGTAATGTGAGTGTTCAGTTCATTGTGCCTAAGAGGCAGCATGGCTGTATGATCCCCAGGGAGTTGAAAAAGTATCAGAAAGTACAATAGTGTCTTGTGACAGGGGACTGTAAAGTATGTAGCAGGCAATGTGCCTGCATATGAGCGCTATATGAGCGGAAATTTACTATTATTATTAGCTTTTAATTGTAGAGTGTTTGTTTTAAATCATATTTTATTCACAGAGAAAGGATTAGGGTATTCTAAGTTTGAGAACTTGTTCCTAATCCTCTCCTTGGTATTTAAATATGTAATTTAGAACAAACAATCTACTTCAAAATTAATAGTAATAATAATAGTAATTTTATCAAACAATGTCTTACATTTACTTTGCTGCAGACTTCCCTGGTGGCTCGCGGCCTCAGCATATGATGTGAAGAAGACAATGTGCAATTTGGGGAAGTGTTTCTGAAAGTAGTCCTTCCATGCCACAACCAGACCAAGTGGAGCAAGGTCGACCTTGTTGAGGATGAGGATCATGGGTTTGTTTAGGTCCCGTGTCACGTGATCGTAAAGAGCAGGTGAGAAGTGAAGGGCCTGAAATCAATACAGTATTCAACACGAAGTGGATAAAGGAACAAGTCTTCCTTCTCCCAGAAAAAATGCTTCATCCTTAGAAGCATTCAAATCGGGACTCAAAACGTTCCTCTTCAAAACATTTCTACAACCTATAACTGCCAAATATTCTGGTGGTCATTTTGACGAACTGTCATATTTTCCTCATAAACTCTGGTGACTCTTTTACATGTAGCGCTTTGAGCATGCTTTGGATGGACTATGGTGGACAAGAAATATCCATTTGTTATTATTATTATTATTATTATTATATTAATGGAGTGAGTGAGGTGAGGTGAGATTGGGTTTAACGTCGTGCTGGAGAATATTTCACTCATGACGACGTGCATGTGTGTGTATGTGTATGTGCGGCTGCTTGTACTAGCCCAGACTGAAGCTGGTTTTATAGTGCTAGCCAACTGAGATACCATGCCGCAGTGAAGCATGAATACCCCACTCAGACACATTATACTGACTCCGAGCTGACCAGTCCTTGTTGTACCCATTAGGGACCAACACGTACCATATTTTATTGTCTTTTGGTATGACTCGATCGGGGATCGAACCCGTGACCTTCCGCACTCGGGCGGGGCTCTCTAACCACACGATGGAGGCAGTCGAGTGAGTGAGTGAAAAAGCGCAGCACCTTAAACTGAGCCATCAGTGTCACCTCAACCTTCTTGTCATTTATTAATCAAAGTGTTATCAACAGTATCTTTGATACAAATATAATAAGTAAGTTACATTTTGTCAAATCCATATTAACAAATGGCTGATTGTCTGAAACAAGTTTTGGTAAGCACATACTGGATGCCTGATGTCTGTGACTAGCAGCATGATGTCCGACATCTCCGTGACCCGCCACAATTGCCGCCAGGTCTCGAGGTTCATTTCGAAGAAGCTCAGCTCCTTGGGGCCATACACAGCAAATATGTTGTCAAGGTAACTCTGAAACAATGGGAGCTGACTGTATACAATTTGACCTTCCTCGGTCGTCATACATCATGCTGGACAGTCAAATTCTCTCAGTGTTAGAGATTCCTGAGGATTAGTGGAAACCATACTTCACTTATAAGACAAAATACCACTTGAATACCAAGTTCTATATGCCTCTCATGAACCTCATACATCACTTGTCCTCTGAGAATGTTGCTAGCACTTGAAAAAAACAAAAAATGTTCAATAAGATTACATTTTCTGTCAGTTTTAATCACTATTTGTTTACAAAATGAAGCATTGAGAACAGATTCAGAATTACAGCCCTCTCTGCATTTTTACTAGGTAAAACCACAATGGCATGCATGTCTAAAGTTGTTTATAAAATTTTACAATTGGCAATTCTAAATACTGTACAGTCGCAAGTTTTTGCATGTAAGACTAGTTCTGACAGATATGTTGTATTTGATATAACCAGTGGAGGTCTTCATCTTTCGGTTGGTTGCTTTGTTGTCTAACACCACACTCAGCAATATGCCAGCTATATGACACGGGTCTGTATATAATCTGGAGGTATCTCCCTTTTAAGGGGAGGATGCGAGGCACTGGGATCATTAAGGTTTGTTCACACTGTTTTTTGAGTCTGAGAACCCTTAAATGTTAAACTTTTACCAGTATGTAACTTCATGACGTTCATGCTAGATGTTGAACACTGACAGTAAACAGGAAATATAAGGATTGGCAAAGATCAAGTCATGGAACCTTGCAAGTTTACCTGGAAATATTCGTCCTCACTCTTCTCTAGAGCGTCTTTAGATGTAGCACTTGTCCATGCAGGTCTCTTTGGTAGGTCCAAGACAGTGCCTGGCTTGTAGATGTCATCTATGTCTGTCTCCAGGGCATCCTGATATCAGAGTGCAGGAATGTCAGCCATACGAGGAGAAATGGGGTTTAGTGTCATGTCTAACATTACTGCACTTATAGATGCAAGTCCTGAGATATCATGCTTCAGTTTATCTGTGTTCCTACTGTTTGATGGTTTCTCAGTAGGCTGACACCATGAGAGAGTCTAGTACAAGCAGCAACACTCCCTACATTAGCTGTCACATACATGCAGGGCGGTGGGGTAGCCTAGTGGTTAAGGCGTTCGCTCATCACACCGAAGACCCAGGTTCAGTTCCCCACATGGGCACATGTGAAGCCCATTTCTGGTGTCCCTTCCACGATAGTGCTGGATATTGCTAGATGTGGCATAAAACTAAACTCACTCACTTACATGCATGTCGGTATATAAGTGCATTTATCTTTAAAATGATGTTAAACCGCATGTCAACCCACTTCTATTTATCATCTGGTTTATAACAGATCTGTCAAAATTGTGGAAAAAATTATTAATATTAATAATAGTTATTTTACTTTTTAAAATACTGCAAAGTAGACTAATTGGTGAAATGAAGTAACATGTCTTGAGTTTCAAGTCATGCGTTTCCTGTTTCAAAGCCTGTACCTCTGGTAGAATTGTTATAAGTTTTCCACATTCTTCTCTCTTCTTTTCAAGTTCCTTGTCACTCATTTTGAAGAAATGGAGGCGGAATCTGGAATATGAGTTGACCAAAAGCATCATATCAAATGATAATCATGACAATATTAGGTAATAAATGGTGGGTAGGCAGGTAGGAAGGTAGGTAGGTAGGTACGTGGGTGCATGTATGTTTGGAAGGATGAATAAAAGGGTGGAAGGGTGCCCCCATGTGATATAAACTTAAGTGGTGACACTAGTTAGAATACCCCTATCAATACATTGGGAACGGCCATGGGGTAGCCAAGTGGCTAAAGCATTCACTTGTCATGGAAGGCCCAGGTTCGACTTTCCCACATGGGCATGTGTGAAGCCCAATTCTGGTGTCCTCTATCGTGACAATGTTGGAAATTTTCTAAAAGTGGCATAAAACTGATCTCAAACCCTCAAACTTGGCCAGGCAAACAATCTTGATATTGAAAATAATATGTTTTGTTTGTTTGATGTTTAACACCGCACTCAGCAGTATTCCAGCTATATGGCGCCGGTCAGTAAATAATCGAGTCTGAACCAGACAATCCAGTGATCAACGGCATGAGCATCGATCTGCGCAGCTGGGATACAATGACATGTGTCAACCAAGTCAACGAGCCTGACCACTGGATCCCGTTAGTTGCCTCTTGTGACAAGCATGGGTTGCTGTCATGGGCAAGATCCTGAGAAGCCTAAGTGTGAGAAACCTGAACAGCAAATTGAGACACTTTTACTGACATTGCAACTGGGCCTAAAACCAAAGAACTAAAAAAGATTAACATAGACAAATGTTTAATCTAAATATTCCAGATCAATTTATTATCTTATTTCACAGATGAGACTATTCACAACATTACAGTGATTTATCTATCAGGGATAGAAATACTTTTTCTTCTAAGTGTGCCTTAGGGCACCAGGTAAATATTTTAGGTGTGCCTTTCAGAAATCAGGTGTGCACACATGTTTTTAGAATAAATGACTGTAGCAAAGATGATGATCTTTTGAAATTTATTGTCAGAAAACAACAAATGTAACCAGTTTTCTGTTATCACTGATATGTCTTCTGTTTAAGATGGCTTTCTTATGTTTCATTTGTTCTGCTTTCCCAGCACCTTTAATAGCTAAGAATTGTGTGAGAGGTTCACTTTTTTCAATATATCTAACATACACAATTTCTTCTTCAGTAACTGAACTATCAGTACTCCCAACACTCTAAATGAAAAAACAACCAGATTTCTTTACATGAACCATCATAATTCCAGTGATTTCCTGGGCGGATAAGGTCAATAAATGTTTTTACTTGGTTGTCATTTGCATAAGTATTTTGTTTGGTTATTAAGTGACTAAAGGTGTGTTATGTCTTAGGCGTGCCATAAGGGCACCGAGAACATTTTTTGCCCGTGCCATTTCGATATTTACCGTGCTATGGCACGCTAATATATGGGGTATTTCGAACCCTGTCTATACAGGCTTAGATGCGTATATATCCAGAACTGCTTCTGCAGGAAATGTCTGAAATTTTCCCAAACTGGAATTGAACATTTTCCAATTAATGCTGTAATCGTTATAATCAAGGTTAAAGTTGACAAATATGAATATGCCTTTGTAGAGGTAAGTTAGATTTCACTGACAACACAACACGACCAACATAGGCCAGAAGCTTAGGTTAACATTTTTCAGATGAATTAGGTTAAAATATAACTGAATTTTGCATGTTTAAGAAATATCACCTTAAAAATAATTCGCAATTTTGAACAAAATAATTATTTTACCCTCTTTGCTCACCCAAAAACGGCAATAAGACTAAAACTCTAGATATCCTGCAATAGTCACAAATTGCAACAAGAAAAAATTACTAACCTGTTAGGATCGAGTCGTCGATCTGGTACATTTGAAGGTTGTTGGTTAATCTTGTTGACAGAAATGGCTGATTCTGCTGTTCCTTCAGACACACTTCCCCCATGCACATCACCATTGTCGGAGTCAGTGTCACTGTCTGCATTTGATCTGGCTGACAATTACAACAACTTGACAATTACATTAATATTTTTGCATCTCTATCAGCATAGTTAAAATTGTTACACATGTATATATTCAATACTACCTTTTCAATTTTATAGGAATTTTAATTTTTTTATTATAGTGGCAGCATTGTCTACAAATGGTCTGACCTGGATCCAAGGCACAGTTTGTAGCTTTTGTGAGCTTACCTAGCTTATGTGAGCAACATATTTTACATCTGTGATATATAGTTCGTGGGAAATATTTTTGAAAGATATAAATCACAATCATAAATGTTTAATGTGAATGTTTTAGCAAATGAATGATTGATTTTACCAGAGACCATATAATATAATATATATTATATATTATATGGTCTCTGATTTTACTAACATGATTAATGTGGATGCATTGACCACTTTTGACTCGGTGGTGATAGAAAATATAAGAATTCGCAAGGAATACTAAGCATGTTAAATAGGGTTACAAAGTTTCTTAAGGTTATACATGATACAAGTGCTAGGGTACAAACTGCGTTACAAAATAACAGATACACACAATATCGACTACCAATGTGAGTGTAGATCTGTTGATAAATCACAAACAAGAAAATATCATTATATGTTATGCATTCTACAATATCACTCTGTATTTGAGTGACAAGACATATGCAACGACGCAATCATCCCTAATGCTGCTTGTAAAGAAACACTTAATATAAACATTAAACAGATGATCCAATATTGTGTAGCATATAGACATACCTTGTTTCCTCTGTCGTCGTTCCTGCAGTTGTTTTTTCTTCTGCTTAACACTGAACGCTACTTTTCTTGGCATTTTTCAGTAATATCCACCACATGTGTCTAACTAGAAAATAACGTTCCAACGCTTTCAGGTGGCTTCCCTTTTGGAAATACCACCTCTCAATGTATTTCATAACAAGAGAAATAGTCTGGGGGCTGACATCTTGAAGGTTCGCAGTAAATGTGTAAACTAAATATATGATAGTTCAAGAAAGACAAAATTATTGTTGGACTTGACAATACGGTTACTGTCTACCTCAAAGGAAAATTCTAATTTTGATAACACTTTACTGTTCCTAGAAAGTCACTGCGCGACTATAATGTTTGCATAGCGAAGTAAACATGGCGACGGAAAGCACTTGCGTAGTTGAATGTGAGGAACAGATTTCATAATATCTCGAGAGGTGATGATTTCAAGGAGCTGTCACAGTCATGGAGTTTGAATTCAGTGTAAACGCTTTACTTGAAGATGTCATTACCAGACTGGACCGTCGTGTTCTGCCACGGGGATCTCATATGAACAATGACAGGTGAGATTAAGAAATCTATTTTCTAAACAAATTAGCCCGGTGACTGATTTGTGAGGCCTAGCGTCAAAGTGTAGTCATGAAATTGCTGAAGTCATGCAAGGTTACGGTGAATAGAACTGTTTGAAGCTTGTGAATAGATATAACCATTGTCAACTGCAGTGCGTGTTAATTATTCATGATATATGTCGATCAGTAACTATGTAGAGTATCACTAAACAATGCACAGGTCCCATAAACCACAGTCTAGGAGTGTAATAGATAATTCTACGTTATGTTATAATCATGCTAACACATCATTTAAATAATCATACCAACATTGCCTGTGGTTATTGGTGTAATGGCTGAGTAGCCAAATATTACAGCATTACATATATTCCTGTAGATTCAATATCAACACATCAGAATCATGAGCTGTTGTCAAATGTTGAATTTTCCAATACAAGCAAATTAGAATAGAAGTAGATGTCAACTAAGGCTTAGTGATAGGAAGGAGAAATGATATAAGTTTGGTTTCAGTTTCAAAATGCAAGTACAAATATGTGAAATTAGTGAGGTGAACATGTGATATTTGGTAGCTGTAAACATGATAAAGCAGAAGCCCAGACACTAGATCTGTGGCTCATGTCGGCAAGAGTCGTGAGGGCTATCTCTTGGCTATAGCTTGGGGTAAGTTGGAGGAGGAGTTTCATTTCTGTCCATCTAAAGATTGGTAAGAAAATCATACTTACAAGGCTTGATTAGGAGATGTTAACCTACTTGCACCAGGTGCAACCTAAGAAAAAAACCTAGTTGCACCAGCCGAATTCCAGTTGCACTGCTTTTAATGCAATATGTAATGTAAGAAATATATCATGGGACCCTCTATTATCGCTGTAGTTAATGTTGTCGCCATTGGGATTATGAACGGCTACTGACATTTAGCATTTTATATATATTTTCAGTTGACTGATGTTTAATCTTCATTTCTGTCACAAATAATGTGACACATAGCTGCAACTCGTTTAATACCATTGCGGCAATTCCGATTTTCTCGTTTCACACGGAAATTGAAGCAACTCTCTATTATCGCGGTATTGCTATTTTCTTACTATGGCACGCGGTACAAGCAGATGACACTGTGAAATGTTTACTAAGACAAGTAACGAATCTAAATAGTTTGATCATTATAAATTATTTAGGAATTTCATTCACATTAATAATATCATCATGTTTTTAACCCAAACATCTGAAACTTCTATTCATTTGGATACAAGGTAACAAAAACGTTACAAGATATTGTTTTCCGCCTTAAAATGTACCATACAAGTTGCTGCCGTGTGTAGAGTGAAGTTGCATAATACGTCACTTCCTGTTATATTTTTAGCACGGAAAATATGCAAATGACCTTATAGTTGTCGCAGGATTACTCTTGACGAAGTAAGTTTTGATTCATGCTAGATGTAATGGCAGTAGGGGTCATACTAGTTTAAAAATGTTCTAGAACTTACTGAAAAGATGAATGCTTTACTATTTCTACGATTAGACATGACATTCCAAATGAAATAAATGACTTTTTCAAGAGCGATGAATAAATTTACGTAATTTGCATATGTAAACAGCCGATGTGGGGCGTGGTGTTTCTGCTTTCCTGATGTTTTCGTGTGCCGCGATAACAGAGAGCCTGCGATAAGAGTCCCAGTATATTATTGAAATATTTAAATGTTTTATTCAGAGTTTATCCACTCAAATATTGAGTTGCACCTGGTGCAAGTTAGACTAATAACTAGGTTTCACTTTGTAATGTAATACTGGATTGCACCAGTGCAAGTAACAAAGCACTGAATTGAGCCCTGACTTATCATGCTTATGTTAGACATAATCTGTATGCCTTGCTGAGTTACATGGCTCATCCAAAATCAGACAGTCCAATGGCATCATGAATTTCAATCCACATAATCTTCCTGAAGCATCAACCAGGTCATCAAGCTTGACCAGTCAATGCCATTAGATGTTGAAGGCCAGGTATGTCTGGGATCTTCATGGTTCTGCTCATTTTATGATTGTCAATAAGTAACATTCAGCAAACAATGTACTAGTCATGCAATATATTTATCTGACCATGTTTATCGTTCATGTTGACAGAAGCCGAGACCACAGAAGGCAGCTTCTCCATGCCATTGACAGTATGGGGGAGGCATCAGCCAAGGTAACAATATTATTAAAGATAATGTATACTCTACTAGTAAAAACGTTGTAAGTATCTGAATCGTGATAGAGTTTTGCTGATAGTAGTACAAAATGAAGACCAAATATGAATTTCTGATGTCTGCTTGCATTGGGAGTGATATGTGAGGGTAGAATATAGTATGGCCCAAAAATACCCCCAAAGTGGGAAATGCAAAAAATATCTACCAAATCATGTGCGAAGTGGTGGCCAAACACACCAGTGTGAAACATGGATTGTTTGGCTATGAAAATGATGGGTTGTTATATTCCTCTGTCATCACAATTATACAGCAAGTGAAAACATGCCACAATTGACAGAAGCCAAACCCAACAATGCCATCAGCTGACTGCACACAGGCGACTTGACATAGCCTTGTTTTTCAATCACCATTAATAGACCATGGTAATGTTATCTGACGCTAGGGTCAACACTTAACCTACCCTGATCAGCTCAACCACGTGCCTCAACTGCAACACAAGACAGGTTCCTACAGGTTCGTTACTTAGATGAAAGACTATCCAATACCAAGATTGTGTAAGATTTCATCCCAGACAGTGAGGCACTGTCAACGTGTCACAGGTATTTGCCTGAGATGACCAGTGCGAGGCGTCATTATGACTGATCAACATCGTCAGCTGTGACATCAGTGGTGTCATGGAAACACAGTATGGCCACAACAGCGATGGAAATGTGTTTTTGGCTTTTCCAAATTCCATACAGTTTGAAGATGGCGTGTTTGCAGACGCCATGGGAAACATTATGCTTGAAATTGCATACAAAAGTGGACAGGTTTGATGGCGGGGTTGTTGTGATGTGGGCCGTGATCTCCCATGGTACACCTTCAGGGCAATTAAACAGCGTGTCACACAGATGTTTACTGTACCTAGTTATGAATACAGTATTCACAAGGTTATCTTCCAATTCTAATCACTACAAGATTGTGTTTGAATGTTGAATGTGGCCAAAAGTCATACATTCCTGTTGTTCTAGGCTCAAGGCCTGTATGGAGCCATCACAGGAGGGCGTAAACTGGAACTGTCTGATCACATTCTCTATCTCATGAAGGATCCAGGTGCCAACAAGTAAGTAATTACCATCAGTATGAGTCATTAACAACAAAAAGATTGGTTGTTTGATTGGTTGTTTAGCGCTGTACCTATCAATATTCCACCTATGTAGCAATGGTCTGTAAATAATCAAATCTGGACCTGACAATCCAGTGATCAACAGCACGAGCATCGATCTATTGGGATACAGTGATGTGTGTCAAACAAGTCAATGAGTCTGACCACCCGTTCCCAGTAGTTGCCTCTTACTACAAGTATGGGTTGCTGAAGATCAATTCTAACCCGGATCTTCTCAGTTAACATCATAAAGAGCATTAGTCATGTTAATCATCGCCAAGCTTCATGGCATCGTCATTAGCAAGACAAGCTTAAACGTCAACTACTCTCCCTTTGCCAGGGCTCCAGATAAGGGCCGTATCGGCGTATGTACAGATAACAAATTTGCACGATACGGTAGGAAATAATTTATAAACGAGGCAGATACTCACCACGGCAATGGTGTACGGTCTTAGAATCATTTACAGACGTATTTATCTGAAAAATTATTGTTTTATTGTATATTGACCTGTTTAAACAAGACTAGCAATGTTGTGGTGCATATATGAAACGAAACACAAGATTACTGATACTCCATTAAATTCCATTCAGTACTCTAAATGTAGGCTTAGGTTTTCGAGTACTCCTATATTGAAGAAATAAGGAGTACGTACTCCTGCTGTTCAAAAATTATCTGGAGCCCTGCTTTGCGTTTGGACAAAACAAAAGTCTTAAGTTGGGCACCCATCAGTTGATCAGGTGCAGGTCACTTGAAACTGTCCAGGGCCCTGTTTGAGAAAGCTATCGTAGAGCTACAACTGTTATAGGTCTATGTTACAGTATAGGAGGTACGACAATCATAGCGCTACAACTGTCGTAAGTCTATGTTACAGTATAGGAGGTACGACAATCATAGCGCTACAACTGTCGTAAGTCTATGTTACAGTATAGGAGGTTCGACAATCGTAGCGCTACAACTGTCGTAAGTCTATGTTACAGTAAAGGAGGTACGACAATCGTAGCGCTACAACTGTCGTAAGTCTATGTTACAGTATAGGAGGTACGACAATCATAGCGCTACAACTGTCGTAAGTCTATGTTACAGTATAGGAGGTTCGACAATCGTAGCGCTACAACTGTCGTAAGTCTATGTTACAGTATAGGAGGTTCGACAATCGTAGCGCTACAACTGTCGTAAGTCTATGTTACAGTATAGGAGGTTCGACAATCGTGGCGCTACAACCGTCGTAAGTCTATGTCATGTTAATCATCGCCAAGCTTCATGGCATCGCCATTAGCAAGACAAGCTTAAACGCCAACTACTCTCCCTTGCCAGGGCTCCAGATAAGGGCGATCGGCGTGCATGTACAGATAACAAATTTGCACGACACGGTAGGAAATAATTTATAAATCGAGGCAGATACTCACCACGCAATGGTGTACGGTCTTAGAATCATTTACAGACGTATTTATCTGAAAAATTATTGTTTTATTGTATATTGACCTGTTTAAACAAGACTAGCAATGTTGTGGTGCATATATGAAGCGAAACACAAGATTACTGATACTCCATTAAATTCCATTCAGTACTCTAAATGTAGGCTTAGGTTTTCGAAAGTACTCCTATATTGAAGAAATAAGGAGTACGCACTCCTGCTGTTCAAAAATTATCTGGAGCCCTGCTTTGGCGCTTGGACAAAACAAAAAGTCTTAAGTTGGGCACCCATCAGTTGATCAGGTGCAGGTCACTTGAAACTGTCCAGGGCCCTGTTTGAGAAAGCTATCGTAGAGCTACAACTGTTATAGGTCTATGTTACAGTATAGGAGAGCAACAATCATAGCGCTACAACTGTCGTAGTCTATGTTACAGTATAGGAGGTACGACAATCATAGCGCCACAACTGTCGTAAGTCTATGTTACAGTATAGGAGGTTACAACTGTCGTAAGTCTATGTTACGACAATCATAATCGCGCTTACAACTGTCGTAAGTCTATGTTACAGTATAGGAGGTTCGACAATCCGTGGCGCTACAACTGTCGTAAGTCTATGTTACAGTATAGGAGGTTCGACAATCGTAAGCGCCACAACTGTCGTAAGTCTATGTTACAGTATAGGAGGTTCGACAATCGTGGCTACAACTGTCGTGAAGTCTATGTTACAGTATAGGAGGTTCAATCATAGGCTACAACTGTCGTAAGTCTATGTTACAGTATAGGAGGTTCGACAATCGTAGCGCTACAACTGTCGTAAGTCTATGTTACAGTATAGGAGGTTCGACAATCGTAGCGCTACAACTGTCGTAAGTCTATGTTACAGTATAGGAGGTTCGACAATCGTAGCGCTACAACTGTCGTAAGTCTATGTTACAGTATAGGAGGTACGACAATCGTGGCACTACAATAGCTTCCTGAAACGGGGCTCAGCATAACTTCTTTAGCTGATCATGAGTCAGTATGGTCAGTGCCTTGTCCACAGCGCTTACACTTCTGGTCAAACTGTCATGTGCAAGATGTTATGAGTATATTGTGTTACAGGGGATTGTGTTATGGAGAACCATGCATTGAAAAATGATGCCATATGGTTACCAAGTTTATGTTTGCTTGTTTCAGTGGCCGAGGTGCAATAGTTGGACTGCTGAAGACGGGACACAAGAAACTGTTTGTGTACGACAACTTCGGGGTGCAGCATGAAATGATGCCATTGTGCATACTGGACTTCTATGTCCATGAGTCCAGGCAGAGGCAGGGGTGTGGCAGGCGGCTCTTCGAATACATGCTCAAGGTGAGTCAATTTTGGATTGATATAATGGCTACAGATGGGGTAATAGCCAACCTTGGACATAAGCCGATTATAAAATTTGACCTGTAAATAACCTGGTAATAATGATAATTACAATATGATTGCTGTCTGTATATGTACCTCGCCATGTGCACAGGCGAATATTCAATTTATCTATATTGTATTGGTCTTTGACCTAATAAAAATCTTGTCTTGTCTTGTCTTGTAAATCGTTACCAAAATTACATATTTTTCCTTATCCTGACTCATGATCTTTTGCTTATCTCCCTTTCCTCTTCGAATGGTAGTGGAACATTTGAATCCCTTGAAGTTCCCGAAGCGGACGTATAAATACACTCACCCACGAAGAAGTTATAAACAGAATACTATCTGCCAATTTAACACATACATATGACAGCTCGGCTATGCCTTTTTATGTAATTGTTTTCAGTCTACAATAGTCCGTGATAAACAACATACCATTTCATACTGTTCTTACGTAAACCTTGTATGTTTCCATACAGCAGTCTGCGACTTAAGCCATTTGACAAAAGTCTCTGTCAAGGTGATAATAATACACTAATGTGTATTTTAAAGGATGCTAAAAGACAGTTCAGACTTAATTAGTATCAAGTGTTTTTTACACAGACTAGCCATTCAGGGAATTGACTGATGTAGTAGTCTGTATGTAAGCTTGTAACCATGGGAACAGGTACAGTCTAAGACATAATGTGTACATACGACGGCCTACTGTTTCCTGTATGCAAGATGGGTGAGATCTGTGGTGCTAATGAAGAGCTTGACCCTAACTAATTCAATCACCGTGACAACCAAACTCAGGTGTGACCATAGAAAATGTGATTCAAGTGTCCCATAAAATCAACCAAACTTATGGTTACTGGAAGACGTAAATAATCAGGTTTCTTGATAAAGGATTTCGCAATTTCATCATGGCTCAGGCGTACATGATGTTGAGAAATTTCAGCCATACACTCCCCTTGCTCACTTCTGGTCATCGGACCCGTGAAGATCAGGGTTAGAATTATCTTCAGTAACCCATGCTTGTCGTAAGAGGAGACTAACGGGATCGGGTGGTCAGGCTCGCTGACTTAGTTGACACATGTCATCGTATCCCAATTGCGTAGATCGATGCTCATGCTGTTGATCAGTGGATTGTCTGGTCCAGACTCGATTATTTATAGACCGCCATCATATAGTTGGAATATTGCTGAGTGCGGCGCAAAACTTAACTCACTCTTCTTGCCATCGATAATTGCTGACACAAGCGAAATCAAACGACTGACAGATTATTCGATCAACCGCTCCAGCACTATGACAAACATTTGAAATCTGTCAGAGTATAGTCAACTCTATTTCAGTGTGAAAATGTGCGCCCCCAATCATTTTGCCATTGACAAGCCGTCACACAAGTTCTCCATGTTTCTGGCCAAACATTACAACCTGAGGGCAGTCATACCACAGGTCAACAACTTTGTTGTTTTCGAGGGATTCTTCTCAAACAGAACAGGTACGTTGCTTGATTTGGTCTTAAGGCATTAAGCATTGCCGAAACATCATTTACTAACCTTAACAAAGGCACAGAGTTTAGAATCATTTGAAAACTACATTAATTTTTTTTCGCTTCTAAAACGGTCACTTGAGCACTCTTTTAGTTTAATTAATAAAAATCAATTGTCATGTTACAAATAAGTGTTTATTTTTCCTTGTCCTTACTCATGTTTGTTGCTTATCCCGAGTCAGGATAAGTATAAAATATCAAGTTTATCATAAAAATTACATTTATTTTTCTGATGAATTATTTGTAATGTGTTACATTTTTGGAATAAGGGGAACATTTGGAAACATTTAGGTTTAAAGTTAATTTACAATAGATATTGGATGCTTAATGAGCAGGGATTTATTTGCTAAGGAAACAGTTTATCAAACATCAATCATTATCGTTATAAGTGGTAACAAGTCTTGAACAGAGTTGTCTCCTTTTGTAGTAATAGGGTTGGGGGTTTTGTGATTGAATCGAAATTTTCCTCGTTCATGATTAGTTAACAGCTATGACCTGCAAAGCTCATCTGATATTAACATAGCTGTAAGTTATTACACCTTCTGGTGTAGAATATATGATGCTACATTAACAACAGCCTGTGTACATGTCCACAATATACAGCGTGCCATTCTCTTCCCACAGAGGTTACTTGTCATATCTTCCTACGAACCTCTGTTCTAATACAGCCCTTTCAGGATTCGTGATTGGTTGCAATCAGATTTAGTTGTGCAATCAGCAACGTTGTTTCAAATGTGATCAATCGTAAGGCCTCGGTTATTTCTGTATGCTTCGGGAAAACTAGAACCTCTTCCCCTGCGCGATGCGCAAAAGTTTCTTCTAGACAGAACTCAGTCGTGTAATGGCAGATCGATGGCGTCTCCATCGCCCTCGTTGACAACGAACAAGCTAGCCATTAAATGTCTTGTGTGTCACATTAACATATGTCTTGGCAGAGGAGGGATATTTGTGGCCCCATATTTACTTACATTAGTCAAGTTGGATCAAAGTCGATGTAACACGTGTTCTGATTGGATAGAAAGAAGGGAGATAATTTGTGTTGCGATTTTTTGCCGCTAGGGGATTTTACGAGAACCGGGAAACATGGCCGTATTAGAACAGAGGTTCGTAGGAAGATATGATGAGTAACCTCTGTGGGAAGAGAATGACAGTGTGCACGGTTTGTTATTCTCCATTCCATAAACTACCTGTTTAAGTTCAGTTTGAATATGTACAAGTCTAAAATGTTACTCTAGATCTGTATGCTTTACGTGGGGAATGCCGGAGCCACAATTCTGATCGAAATGTTCACCTGAAATGACTGGTTAACCACAATGAAAATCTCAAGAAGGAGAGAGTGATTCTGATCTAAATGTAATAGAATTAACATCATAAGTATCAGTCAATCAGTCACTGAATGAATAGGACCCGTGAAGGTCCGGATTAGAATTGGTCTTCAGTAGCCCATGCTTGTCGTAAGAGGTGACTAACAGGATCAGGGTGGTCAGGCTTGCTGACTTGGTTGACACATGTCATTGGTTCCCAATTGCGCAGATTAATGCTCATGCTGTTGATCACTGGATTGTCTGGTCCAGGCTTGATTTTTATAGCAGGAATATTGCTGAGTGCAGTGTAAAACTAAACTCACTCACTCACTGAATGAATAGTCATTAAGGCATCTTTGTTTAACAGACGTGGATCAGAGCAGATCCAGAAGTGGTCGACCTCCTGTTTACAGAAAACCAGGTAATAAGCAGTGTTAAGGGAAATACAGTTTAGAAGACTTCAAACTTGGGATGGATAACCCGTACCTAGGACAAGTGGGTGATGAGTTGGACCTGGGGACCCGTCTCAATACCGGGACCCGTTATGATCATGTGACCAATAGATTAAACAATGTAATATGTGATTCTTTCATGATTAAAAGGTTGTATTGTCTTTAAAGATTTAGACATAATTACAGTCACTTCTTTTGAATATGAAACATGGTTTAGATATTGAAAACTTGAAATTTTAGCCTCTGAGCTGAAGAATATATTGCCATTTCTTACAAATTTGATGTAAGAAATTAAAGGTCACATGCAACCAAAAAATCAAACATAATTAAAACACAATTATCACTTCTTCATGACATATAATATGCATTGGTGATTATGAAAAAACAAATAAACAAAATTATAAGCGTATAATCGCAAATCAAAAGTGCAATATTTTGTACTTGGGTTTACCTCCCTCGAAACGAAGCAGCCGGGATACCGAACCCAGTCAGAGCGGGTGGGTGTGCACTCAAGTGTAACGGCTGGTTCATTAGCAGATGCCACTTCACGGGTCATTGTGTGTGTATATATAGAAAGTTGGGTTTTGTAAATACATGCTCATTTTTGTGTATAACATTTTGCAATCAACAGACATCATAACATGTCATGTGTTCAAGTATCACACCTGCCTGTCTGTGTAATTACATAATGTGACAGAGACCGAACTCGGGCCATAAATCAATGCGTTTTGTTTATGGTGTATAGCCCGATTGGTGTTAAGTTCAAATTGCATGTGGTCAGTGATCGCAGTTGTGTATTGAATATTGTCATTAGCAGACAGGCAGGCAGACACACTGGTGTCAATAAAACAAGACATTGAGTTTTGTCTGTGACAGCGACATATCTATATCACAGTTAGAAATCGTGTCAACTCTAAATAATGACATTGCTTTTAAGTATCGAACTGAGAAAGTGACTCGGTAAGAAGAACGTGTGGTGAAATAGACAAATGAAATTATATAAACAGTTTATTTACTGTCATAACATACAAAAAGCTCGCACATGTGGGATATCAACAAAACATTATAAAACTAGCTCACACCAAAGCCTTCACCGAGTATTCACCAGACAGCCCGCCTTCCAAGTTGCGCTGAACCTATTTCACTGCGCGACGCTATGAGCGCAGCCAGCTGTTGAAACCCGTATTCCCCAGAAAAGTCTGGGGAAAATTAGTGAAACGTTTGAACTCCGATTTCGCGCGTTTTTTTTCATCGCGTTATTTTTCAACTTTATAAGTTGAATTTGCATTTTTGACGCTTTTTTTCGGTAAGTCCATACCGAAAGGTATCAGAATCTGCAAAGTTGTGTTTTACGTTGCATGTGACCTTTAACATAACAGGTATCTGGGTAGGGTAGGGTAATATGGGATGGGGTACCCGGGTGTTTCACGGTTAGCATCGTCCCAAGTAAAATAAGCAGGTCATCGGAGACTAAGTGGATCAGCTAGATCATGCGTCATCAAACCCCAGCGGTGTGGATTGTTGCAGGAATATTGCTGAGTGTGACTTTATACAAGCACACAGCATTGAACAAACACATTGGGGACCGTTCATATTTTATGGCATGGTGCGTGCGTGTGTAAATGAGGATTTTTTTGGGGGTGTCATTCCTTTTTGTTCATGGGTCAGCATTTTTGTACATAAGAATATTAAATATTTATGCTTAGAAATTCTGGGAAGGGGGAGGGGGGTGATTGATTATGTACATTTGTACTTGCATTGGGGGTCACTTACTTTGTACATCAGTTGTTGGGGACATCATTCACATTGTACATGCTTTTTCATAAAAATCTTCATCATCATCATCATCATCATCCCCACCCCCAGCCATAAATTATGAACAGTCCTTAAAACAGAGTTAAATGAACATGTACCTCAGGGGTGGAAATAACCCATTGCCCGATGCCCGAGTCCAGCGTTTTTTTCTGTCGGGCAAGCAGATTTGTATATCACACTGTACCGGTGTCCAGTTGACTTTCCAATTTTAATTATGTTGTTTATTTAAAGAATCAACAAGAAAACGTCCGGTATTGTGGAAAAATCATCAGGGCAAGTGATTTTACATGTGCCACTGTACCGGAGTACACTAGCAATTTTAAAGTTATTTCCACCCCTGTACCTTTTTGCAAATACATAGAGGATATTTGGTCTGTTTGGTCAGAGGACAGAGTTCATATTTTCATGATTAGTTAAGTTCTTGTGTTATGTTGTGTTATGTATTTTTGAGAGAAGTAAGATGCTAAGAATATCTTTCATGAACGGTCATGATTTGTGACTCATACTATTTGCTCCTCTCTCTCTAAACTGAGATACACTGGAAACATCTGTATTGTGTTCCCCAGAACAGTTAAAACATCTCACCAAAACACACCTCACCTCCTCTGTGTAGGTGCACCTGACAGAGGTAATATTTTCATGAATAGTAAACTTTGTGCTGTGTGTTAGATAGTGTTATGTGCATTTGAGTAAAGTAAGATGCTAAGAATCTCTTTCATGAACTCTCATGATTTGTGAAACTGACATTGGCTACTTCTTTTTTGATGCTTTTGGACATAATGACGAAATCATTTTTACTGCAGAGGAGCAAAGGAATGCTGGAATGCACAGTAGAGCCTACACAATGGACAGTAAACCACCACCTGGTCATGTGCGGGGTCGGCCACCATCTGGCAAGTCCTCTCACAGATGTCCGAACCCTCCTCCAGTTAACCCACATGCTGCTCAAGAAAACAATCAAGTATGTCTTGTTTTTCAGCTGATTTCATGACATATACCCAGGGTTTTACAGGACGCGTGATTCCTACGTATTGGATGCAGAAATTTGATGAAGTACCCCCAAACTAAAATCCTGTACGTCCTTGTGGACGCGACATTTGCTTTTTTTTCTGGGAAAGAACTTTCTGAATTAGTAATGATATCCCATATTAAACTATAAACATTCTGTTTACAATCATTATTCTAATGACATTGAAAGTAGCACATATTAAAACATAATTATTATCAAATGTGAAGCATCCATGATCATTGATTTCATGCAAATTGATGGACTCCCAATTTTGGAAATGGACTCTCAGAATACATATGCCCGAGTCCCCAGAACTCCCACTTTCGAAGAGCTATGTAAAACCCTATATACCTTTGTTATATATATAAAATCTTTTTATATAGTGCTGAGTTCCAGGGCTAGGCTGCTCACAGGTGCTTTGTTTTTACCTCGATCAATGGATGTCAATCTCAACAGCACATCATATTATCAATCTCAACTCCCAGGGGAACATACAACTCTTGCAGCCCCTAGGCGCACCAAGCTAATGTGGGTTTCCCACCCCTACGAGGTACCCATTGACAGCTGGGTGGACTGGGACTCATAGTACTTTGTCCAAGTTTACTGCACATTGCTGAATGTTGCTGTACCTGCAACTAAGTGTTTGCACATATTCTTGTGGCCACCGTCTGGTCATTTAACAATGGATTCGTTGTGTACTGTACACAAGGGGTTGTGACAACACTGAAAGAATCTACACACAAAGTTAACTCCAAGGTTTTTTACACCCGGTTACAGGTGGGCTGGATCCCGGCACCTCAAGCTCACTGGATCACCTGTCTGGCACCTATGATAGCTCGCTCATGACATCCCTGGTGTTCCAAAAGATCCTTGTCAGAACCCTTATGTTTTATATATAAGATAGTTGTTTTTAGTTTGGATGTTGTTTAACTCCACACTAAGCAATATTCCAGCTATATGGCGGCAGTCTGTAAATAATGTAGGGGAAGTAGGATAGCTGGGTGCTCATCCAGCTGAATACCTTGGTTTGATTCCCCCCATGGATACAATGTCTGAAGACCATTTCTGGTGTCCTCACCATGATATTGCTGACAGTGGCATAAAACCATCACTTACTCACTCACTGAGACAGTGTGTGAAATAGTTTCCAAATTTTGCTTGCCAGTCGGGCTAGCTATGCCTGAAAGTTACTAGCCAAAAAACATGATAATTGACTAGCCTAAAATTTGAATGTAGAAACTAAGCAAAAGATTACAAAAAAAATACCATCATTTATCAGGCCATAATCTTTCATGATTTTAAAGTGTATTATAGTTTAACAGGTCAGAGAGAGTGTATTTAAAATGACCCCATGAAAATTCACTTACCAGTTGGGCCAGTGACAGTGGAGATTTGCAGGCCAGATTGGATTTTTAGTGGGCCAGTGGCTATTTCGCACACTGCACTGAGATACACTCAGTTTTGTTTATGTAACCAAACAGGCATAAACTTTCAACTTTCATTTTCAGAATCCTGAGATGAATGATCTAAACTTCAACTCCCGACCAAACAGTGGCTCTAAAAAGGCCGAGATGCCCCGTCACAGGAGCCCCAAGTAGGTTCAGTTGAGATGAGAACACTTATAAGCTGCTGCAATTATTTGTGCATGTGTTAATGTCCATGATTCACCCTGATTACGTGTCTAGGTTTGTCAGGACCAAACGTGTCCTCATGGGTTTCACCTCCAAAGGGGTGAATGTTAAGACCTGTAACTGGAAAATTTAATGATTAACAGACGGTTTTGACAAAGAGTTTAAACTTAGATGTGTCAGAGTGTATAGCAGCGAGGATCTCCTAACATCACTCTTCAGGAAGCTCAAAAACAAACATTGGGGTCCTCTTGACACTATAGGGGCGGTGGGGTAGCCTAGTGGTTAAGGCGTTTGCTCGTCACGCCGAAGACCCAGGTTCGATTCCCCACATGGGTACAATGTGTGAAGCCCATTTCTGGTGTCCCCCGCCGTGATATTGCTGGAATATTGCTAAAAGCGGCGTAAAAATTCACTCACTCACTCACTCACTCACTCACTCACTCACTCACTCACTCACTCACTCACTCACTCACTCACTCACTCACTCACTCACTCACTCACTCACTCACTCACTCACTCACTCACTCACTCACCCACTCACTCACTCATTCACTCACTCACTCCCACTCACTCACTCACCCATTCACTCACTCACTTGACACTACATATAGCTGTCCATTGAAATTACATTGTTATGCAAGCACAGGTAAAACCTGTCAATAGCAAAAATTTCCAAGTTTAATGAAAGTTGTGTTGACATTTCAATATCTCAAACAAAGGTACAAGTTTGTTACCTAACTTGATTGTTAGTAAGTTAACACTAAGAGAGAGAATTGTATGTACAATTTCTGCACTATGATGAACACAATGTTTCGGTGCACATTCTTACTGCTTCATCAGGTGGATGAAACTAGGAAGCAAAGAGCTTATATTTGTAGATGTGAGAACAACATTGGTGGACACTTAACAATGGAAGCCAGTGTCAGGTCTTGATCACTGAGACATTACTGATGTGTGTTGCAGACACTGGTTTTGGACTTGCAAATTTTCTGAATGAATGTAGTTTGAAGGTTTTGACCAATAGTCCTCAGCTTTGTGATGTCAGTGTTTCCGTTATCCAGTATATACCGGACTTCGACTGGTACAAAGTTAGAATGTCCGGTAATTTCAAAGGCTGTTGGTTGTAGTGTCTGGAAAATTTTAAAATCAATTTTCTAATTACCTCTGTCAATTTTATTTTTCCTCAAAAAAGAATATGTTTTCACAATGACATTGAGGTGTGAAATAAGAAATAATTGAGGTGTCAAATAAGAAATAATAGTTTTGGAAAACCCCAGGCTAAAAATAGCAGCATTGATGCATTGTGAACACTCTACATTCCTGATTGGTTGTTAGGGTGCTAGGTCTCGCGCACAATGAAAAGCGTGATGACATGACCGGTAAAATGTACAAATGACCGGTATTTGAAATGCTAGCCGGTCACAATGTCCAGCTGTGAAAAATGCGAAAGGAAACTCTGTGATGGTCGTCATGGATATTCTGGAGGTATTCTGTCCTGGAACATTGCCAGTCCTCTAAATGCATATTAGTCCATTAGATCGCAAGTCTGAGACTATAAATTAGTGCTGGGCAACCAGGGGATACAGCACTTGAGAAGGGGGGTGGGGAGAGGGGGTGGGGTGGGTGCTCGCTAAATTTCACAAGAGTTTCAATGGTCATTTAATAACTACAAAAGGGGAGGAGAAGCTTCCCTGCATTCTGAACCTGTTCTCAATGTTTCACTTTTGCTACAAACTGGAAATTAATTAAACTGACCTTAAAAGTGACATTTTGATAATGTTCAGATAGAATTAGTTGACTCCAAGGACCAGTGTATTTAGGTGAACACATTTCCTGTAGACTAATTTTAAGATAAAGGAATTTCCTTGGCTACATTCCCAAGATAAAAAAGAATTGAAAGGGTGCAGAATTGGCCAGGGTAAAAAATCCTTGATAAATGTGCTTCTGTACAACTTTCACACCTGCCTTGTAGCCCAGTGCACCTGGACATGCGAAGTTTGTCAGCAGGCAGTAACAGCAGCCGTGGCCTCGGTGCAGGCATCAACATGTACAGCCGACACAACGCTGCCCCACCGGACAACCGTTTACAGAGGCACAGCAGTCTAGACAGACTTAATGCACTGGAGTCAAGAGTACAGGGTAGATAAAGGAGACTACATTTACTGTCACAGGGTAGATAAAGGAGACTACATTTACTTACTCGAGTCAAACTACAGGGTAGATAAAGGAGACTACATTTACTGTCACAGGGTAGATAAAGGAGACTACATTTACTGTCACAGGGTAGATAAAGGAGACTACATTTACTGTCACAGGGTAGATAAAGGAGACTACATTTACTGTCACAGGGTAGATAAAGGAGACTACATTTACTGTCACAGGGTAGATAAAGGAGACTACATTTACTGTCACAGGGTACTGTCACAGGGTAGGTAAAGGAGACTACATTTACTGTCACAGGGTAGATAAAGGAGACTACATTGACTGTCACAGGGTAGATAAAAGGAGACTACATTTACTGTCACAGGGTAGATAAAGGAGACTACATTGGAGGGGTAGATAAAGGAGACTACATTGACTGTCACTGTAACTACATTTACTGGGGTAGATAAAGGAGACTACATTTACTGTCACAGGGTAGATAAAGGAGACTACATTTACTGTCACAGGGTAGATAAAGGAGACTACATTTACTGTCACAGGGTAGATAAAGGAGACTACATTTACTGTCACAGGGTAGATAAAGGAGACTACATTGACTGTCACAGGGTAGATAAAGGAGACTACATTGACTGTCACAGGGTAGATAAAGGAGACTACATTGACTGTCACAGGGTAGATAAAGGAGACTACATTGACTGTCACAGGGTAGATAAAGGAGACTACATTTACTGTCACAGGGTAGATAAAGGAGACTATATTTAGGAACCATTATTAATTTATGGCTAGGGGTAGCTGGTGATGATTTTAAGAGAGGGGGGTGTCACCCATTTTGTTCTGGGGAAGTAGGGGGAGGTCATCAATTTTGTACACATGTACTAGAGGGGTGTCACTGATTGTTTACATGACATGCAGGAGGGTGAGGGGTCCACTTTCTTTGTACATAAATTTTAACAGGGTGATTCACATTGTACCTGCCCCATCATCATCACCCCACCCCTAGCCATAAATTATGAACGGTCCCCTACTGTCTTGTAACTTTTTACTCTCCTAATATCACAGGACCCTCCATTACCGGGATAATGAAATACGATCTGCAAAATCATATCCTTGACAGTTGCTTGAAACCACCTTCATCGTCAGTAATCATTTTTTCTGATGTAGGGAATGCGTCTTTCAAATTTATGAAGCGCTGTTCATTTTTTGTTTTCACTCAGACAGACAGACCCGTGAAGTCCGGGTCAAATCTATGTGCTTGAAAATGATGCTTAGAGTCAAGTTGGGGCTAGTCACCTATGACATTTATATACTCTTTTGGCTTCCATCATGTATTGCTTATGTCAACATTATGCTGTGGTCCAACAGATCCTGGTCCGCCGATGTTGCAGCGTGCAGGTCCTCCTCCAGGCTACGCTGAGATGATGAATCTCCATCAGGACTACCAGGGCAGACAGGGGCATCTCAAACTGCAGTCACACTCATCATCCACGATGTCTAGCATCTGAATCTCTCTGTCTTCAACCTGTGAAGGACCACTCACTTACCAAATTGATCTTCATTAACCAATCACTTGGTGGACTCACTCACTCATCCTCACTCATCAACTGGGATCGATGTCACTCACTCGCTCACTCACTGGACACATGTTATCCAATGTTTCCATTTGTGCAGACCTCAATCACTCACTCTGTTGATCACTGGATTGTTTGGTCCACTCACTCACTCACTCACTCACTCACTTCACTCACAGACTCACTCACTCACACTCACTCACTCCTGAATCACTCACTCACTCACTCACTCACTCACTCACTCACTCACTCACTCACTCACTCATATTAGTATAATATGTATATTACCCTGTACCTATTCATGAATGATGTTGTCCCCATGAAGATCCAGGTTAGAATGAACCTTCAGTAACCCATGCTTGTTACAAGAGGCGACTAACGGGATCGGGTGGTCAAGCTTGCTGACTTGGTTGGCAGTTGCGTAGATTGATGCTCATGCTATTGATCACAGGATTGTTGGGTGCAGACTCGATTACTACAGACCACTGCCATACAGCTGGAATATTGCTGCGTTAAACATCAAACAAATCATTAAAACATCATGAATGATGTATTGGTAGAAATGGACATTCAGTCAGTTGAAAAGGTCCTTCCGGGATTGAAACAGGCAGTGGTTTCACCAGTACTCGTCTTAACACAACTGTTTCATCCTCAGTTATCCAGAGTATCAAAAGCTCCATATTATTATGATATATAATGCCCTGGAGCTATATGTCACCCAGGCCACTGTTTGACTGACAGTTGATCCGTGAAGATCCGGGATAGAATTGATCTTCAGTAACCCATGCTTGTCATAAGAGGCAACTAACGGGTTCGGATGGTCAAACTCGCTGACTTGGTTGAAACATGTCATCATATCCCAACTGTGTAGATCGATACTCATGCTGTTGATCATTGGTTTGTCTGGTCTAGACTCGATTATTTAGCTGGAATATTGCTGAGTGTGGCTTAAAACTAAACTCACTCATTGAATGACACTGTGCATGGAAATGAAATCAAATCAATGTTCTACCAGGAGCTAAGCAAAGAACCATATGGCAGTACCACCAGGGTGCCGTTCCACTAACCAATCTTAGCCCTACACCAATCGTAAAACCCTATGATCGGCATACCGTTCCACTAACCAATCTTAACCAAGTCAATCGTAAAGTTCATATCCAAAGTCTAAGTTGCTCATGAACAACTAATGATCGCTAAAATCAATTGTAGAGAAACCAAAATGGTGGCTTTTATATTACACGTGAAGAAGAAGAGTGAGGATTTCACCATCACCTAAAGCCCCCCATGAAATGAATTTGTTATCCCCATAGCGGTTTAAAGGGGTATTAAAATAGACTCAATCCGTGGTCGTCCGGATCCTTCCGTCCGGCACATTTGTGTGAGACAGAACTCATTTCTGGTTCTTCACCAAACTTGGCACATAGATAGATCTGGTGGTGTAATGGTGCCTTTTGGTAGTTTTGAATTCTGAATAAAACATTTTTGTCTTTTCCATGGCAACAAGTTCGACTTAGCCTGAAATTGGTGGTAGTGCTCTTTCCCGGAGCTGAACTCTAAAACCGTTTACTATTTCTTTATCAAACTTGGCACATATATAGATGGTGGTGGTGTACTGGTGCCTTTTGATAGTTTTGGAATTCTGAATGAAATATTTTTGGCGATCCGTTTGACCTAGCCTGAAATTGGTGGTAGTGCTCTTTTCGGAGCTGAACTCTAAAACCGTTTACTATTTCTGCCAAACTTGTTGATCTGGTGGTGTACTGGTGCCTTTGGTAGTTTTGGAATTCTGAATAAAATATTTTTGGCATTTCCATGGCAACAAGTTTCGACTTAGACTGAAATTGTGGTAGTGCTTTTTTCGAAAGCTGAACTCTAAAACCGTATTTCTTCACCAAACTTGGCACATAGATTCGATCTGGTGGTGTACTGGTGCCTTTGGTAGTTTTGGAATTCTGAATAAAACACTTAGCCTTTTTGTCTTTTCCATGGCAACAAGTTTGACTTAGCCTGAAAATTGGTGGTAGTGCTCTTTTCGGTCTAAAACCGTTCCATGTTTCTTCACCAAACTTGGCACATAGATAGATCTGGTGGTGTACTATTGCCTTTTGATTGTTTTGGAATTCTGATTAAAATATTTTTGTCTTTCCGTTCAACAAGTTTGACTTAGCCTGAAATTGGTGGTAGTGCTCTTTTCCGGAGCTGAACTCTAAAACCGTTCCATGTTTCTTCACCAAACTTGGCACATAGATAGATCTGGTGGTGTACTGGTGCCTTTTGATTGTTTTGGAATTCTGATTAAAATATTTTTGTCTTTTCCGTGGCAACAAGTTTGACTTAGCCTGAAATTGGTGGTAGTGCTCTTTTCCGGAGCTGAACTCTAAAACCGTTCCATGTTTCTTCACCAAACTTGGCACATAGATAGATCTGGTGGTGTACTGGTGCCTTTTGATTGTTTTGGAATTCTGATTAAAATATTTTTGTCTTTTCCGTGGCAACAAGTTTGACTTAGCCTGAAATTGGTGGTAGTGCTCTTTTCGGGCTGAACTCTAAAACCGTTCCATGTTTCTTCACCAAACTTGGCACATAGATAGATCTGTTTGGCACATAGATAGTTTTGGAATTCTGATTAAAATATTTTTGTCGTTTCCATGGCAACAAGTTTGACTTAGCCTGAAATTGGTGGTAGTGCTCTTTTCGAGCTGAACTCTAAAACCGTTCTCATGTTTCTTCACACAAACTTAGCACATAGATAGATCTGGTGGTGTACTGGTGCCTTTTGATTGTTTTGGAATTCTGATTAAAATATGTTTGTCTTTATTTCTGTGATGTAAACAAACACTGCACTGAAGCCTTTCAAATGTATTTTAGGCCCGTCTAAAACCGTTCCACCACTGTTCACCATGGGAACATAGATAGATCTGGTGCTGAAGGAGGCCGTTCCTCTAAACTGATCTTATCTAAATATCAATCTTAGCAATTTACGCCAATTTTAAAATCGTCTCATCTAAAAGTTGCACCCGTTCCACTAACCGATCTTAGGCCAATCGTAGCCGATCTCGATCTTATGATCCGATGCAAGCTTAGATCGCGACTCTTTGTGCTAGAGATAGAGAAATGTGAGGTGCGAGTTATCTCCCTTTGCATAGTCTAGCGGATGATGGAAGTAGTTTTGGAACTAATAGGTGTAAACGTGGAGAAAAATCTCAAGCGAAATATTAGGGTAGTGCGCACCTTGGTTTCAGGGACAAGATCGCGATCATGTGAACACCTCTACCTTGCCACAAGCACATCATCTGATATTGAGTGATAACGTATCAAGAATCTGTCAGTGGTCTTGATAAACAGGCGGCCTGCCTTAAAATTTAGAATCCCCACCAAACAAGCACACGTTCAATCAAACATATTTGTATCTTTTTGTTTCAAAACATTGTTCACTTCATGACTCATCCCTATTCTTAACCATGATGTTGGAATATGTACAAATGTATTACACTGACTCCTTGGGCTGTGTTCCCATGACGACAGTGGTGAGATGGGCCTTACATTTGAAAGGCTTCAGTGCAGTGTTTGTTTACATCACAGAAATAAACAAATTCATTTCATGGGGTTTTAGAATAGAATATGAAAGGCACCATTTTGGTTTCTCTACGATTGATTTTAGCGATCCTAAGTTGGTCATTGACTTGGGTAAGATTGGTTAGTGGATCAGTATGCCGATCGTAACATCACGCTAAAATTGGGATTTTAGGGGTTACGATTGGTGTAGGGCTAAGATTGGTTAGTGGAACGGCACCCAGGAAAATATCTTTTCCATCTACATCTTCATGTATAATTATCTCGTTATTTGTTTAGATGCAATGAGGGCTCACTCAGATTCGATTATCTGAGCATCAGTGATATGTTTGCATGACAGATTTTCCACAAGATTTGTTCTTTAAGAAATAGCAACGCTTGACAATGGTATAAGATTCTATACCTAAAAGTCACATCATAATATAATAAAGAAGTTGTAGTCCATTAAGTAGCATACCTTTATGGTATAGAAATAGCAGGCTATGAAATCACTATTCCTGACTTTTTACAATGTGTGTAGGTTACATAACACCAAATGTTTTCCCATAGACTTCTATAGTAACCTTATATTTTTTTAAATTATCCAGGCTATCAACAGCCACTCCATGTACACATGGGTACAGTCAGGCCTTTATACTACAATAAAACACAATTTCTGGCCAAATTGTTCGGCTCATTTTCCGAGCACAGGAAGGAGGAACACATCAAGTTCCGCACCAAATGTCACCTACTGGAAAATATCTGTACACACAATAAGCATAAGTCATGGTGATAAAAATGACAGCACTAAATACTTAAAATTGTGTCAGTTTTAATTACTGGATGGATGTGCTTTTAAAATACATAAAATTCTTACACTATTTCATCCACAGCTGTCACATGTCTCTGTCTCTCTCCAGTTGTTTACATACGGTGCTCGCTCAGGGAGCATGTGATTCTGATTTAGTGTAGTGGAACCTGTACCCGGTATTTGGTCCTTTCTCCCCACAACCATATCCATTCATTCATTTGTCCATGGGCTTTTGACAGACAGTAAATTTCAAACCCTGCTTCGTGTTCCAGCCTCCCACAAGTCCATCGACCCCCACACATCAACAGTTACCACAACCCTGGGGGCCGGACCCATGTTCCAGTGCTGTACAATCCCCCCTCTGCACGGTCAGCCTTCACCCCATCACCAGCCGCTCACAAGGACACCACCTGGACTGTCCACGGCATCGTCCCCAATCACAGGAGCATCGTCGTCAACGCGACACAACATGCACAGTCGCTTGTGGTGACCATGGCTCAATGGATAAATATGAATCTCTTATAATAAAATCTCCACTGTGTGACACATGTAGAACACCATGCCTGCTCAGGGTTGAATTGTTAGATCACAGGCCTTCATTTTCCCACCTAACAAATACATTTAATCAGGGACCATATAATAGAGGGACAGCCCTCCCCAACAGTTTGTCACCAACCATCAGCGCTGACGGCCTGGCATGTAACCGATACACATCGACACCCTGCTGCTAACTTCCCTCTACCGGTACACATGCGCAACAGATGCGCAAACATTCGCAAATGAGCACTCTGGTAACCACGTAAACAATATTGCGTAATATCCGGGCTGAGAGTTAATTCCCTTAGCGGGATTTCACCGGCTGCGACTGACAGTCAAACATTACATGGACAGCTCCAATAAACTGATTACAATAATCTTAATCTTATTATATGGTCTCTGATTTAATCAATAGAGAATGAGATAAGTGAGACCACACGAAGCGTTGCTTCTCCATTGAATAGCAGTTCCTGCTTCACTCAGAAGCATTTTGAAACAACATTGAGAGTCTCCATACACTACTTAAAGAGGTTAGAGAACCTGTGTGAAATGGAGCTTGGAGAAATTGAACAAACCAGTGAAAAATGTTACATATATTTATATGGCTGTAATTATGTATTCTGTATGAAATGAATCTGTCCAGTAGGGTTTGGAAGTTGAAGTACAAGGAGGATAAAGGAACAGCCAGCCAGAAGGGGGAGGATATAATTGCATAACAGGGCAAGCTGAGAGAAGGATTGTGACCTGATTTATAATAATCGCTTCCTGGGATGGTGGAAATGTGGGGAAGTGCTTGAAAGAATGTAGTTAGTGAATGGCCAGGGTAATTGAAGGAGTAATTTATGTCTGATAATAACTTCAGGAAACAACCTGTTGCTATAAAAACATACTTCCAGATGTATCTGTTATTTGCAGTACAATTTTGATTTTGTATTATATGGATACAGAACTTTGTACTGATACATCACAATATGTGTACCATGGTACAAAGTGTTGTGATGCAAGGGTATCGAGATGTCTTATTAAATTTCTGTTCATTCACTGTCAGACATTCTTGTAATGTAGGTTGTTGGTTAGCCAAGTGGGTAAAGCTTTTGCTCATCTCGACAAATATCCTGGTTTGATTCCTTACATAATATCAGGTCCATGCTTGGATTTCCCAGGTGTGACGTGGCTGGAATACTGTATAAAGCTCTGCACACTCACTGTAGGGAGTATGTCTCTGGCTTTGTTTGCTGTTATGCAGGTTAATTGTCATCACAAACATAAATGTGTCAACGTTTTCCACTGGTTTGGGATTGTTACAAAAGGGAATTATCTGTGTGATAACATACCTCACTTTTACTGAAATACACGCTGTTACACGTAATGGATATTGTGAACTCATCCTTGGAGAGCTAGGGTGTTTTTGTGATTTATGGAATGGATGATGATGATGATGATGATGATGATGATGATGATGATGATAATGATGAAGGGGAGATGGATGAGGATGAGGAAGAATTCTGCAAAAAATGGAAATATGCCCTAGGTCTTCATTGATGTAGGGTGTTTTGTGATTTATGGAATGGATGATGATGAGGATCTTGATGATCATGATGATGATGATAAGAAGGGGAGGTGGAGAGGAATGTGGATGAATTCAGTGAAATGGAAATATTCCCTAGGTCTTCATCGATGTAGGGCATTCTGTGATTTATGGAATGGATGATGATGAGGATGATGAATTCAGTGAAACCCTACAGAAATATGCCCTAGGTCTTCGGTGATCAGTTGCTGCCCTTCACTCACACATTGTTTTGTTCAGATATGTGCCTTTATATAGCCTACTGCAATACTACCTGTACATAGTATAATATTCACAGTATTGACCATGCCATTTTGTTATTACTGTATGTAATCACTGTGTGCCAAGCTGGATGTAATGATTACAGGGTTGAGGATGTGTACAAGGTTATGGGGCTGGGACTGTGAAAATCCCCCAAATACAGTGACACCTTATTAGGTAGGATACTGTCAATTTTGAAACTCCGCCTTCTGTTATGGTTAGGAGGAATGATGATGAAATTTATGGAGTAGCATGTACAATGTGAATGACTCCCTGTACAATTTATGTACAAAGTAAGTACCCTCCGTAAAATCAATAGTACAATAGTACCCCCTTCCCCTCTACGTCCCCAGAACAAAATGGGTGACACCACCCAACCCTCTAAAAACACTCTCTCTCTCACCCAAACTCCCCCCCCTCCCCCCGCCATATATTATGAACAGTTCCTTATTATGGCACATTTCAGCAGTTACAAACTGGAAAGTCTGCTATACAAATTCATAACATAATTTAAAACATGCACTAGTTGTTAGTGCAAAGCCTGTTAATCAGGAAACCCCACTTTGTCTAATAACTTCAGGCTTGTTCATATATAAGTTGTTTGTGCAAACTTCATTAATGTGGAAACCTGGCTTTCTATGTGATTACTTTTGGGATTGTCCATATCGTATTTGTTAGTGCAGACCTCGTTTATGTGGGAACCCCACTTTTCATACTTTTGGTGATCATTTCTACAGCATGCATCACCATGACTTCAGGTAAAACTCTGATTTTGGAGGGGGGAATTGTTCATATCTTACCGGTACTTGTTGGTACAAACTTTGTTTCATTAGGCCAGACCAATTTTATTTCTTGTTTTACTGATCTGCTGGTCGTATTTTTTCAAGAATAAGAAGAGAAAAAAAATCTGCCCCGCTCAAAAAATAAAATCCTAATGTTTGTATTGGCCAAAAATGTAAACTTACAAAAAAATCTTTTTTAGATTTCTTATTTTATTTGTTTTTTGGCCCCATATACACTTCATAAATTACCAAAATTAAATACCTTTAGTATTTTGAAGGAATATTACTTCGACTGGTGATTTTTTTTCCCCCTCCTGCCTTTAGGTTTTCTGAGGACAAAAATCCGTAAAACAAGAAATAAAAGTGGTCTGGCCTTATTGATGAATAAATAATCCAGATAGTCCAGATGATTCTAGAGGGAATGCCATGTCCTAGTTAATGGGGTTACGCTGTATACAAGGGGATATTACATTCTAGAGGGAATGCCATGTCCTAGTTAATGGGGTTACGCTGTATACAAGGGGATATTACATTCTAGAGGGAATGCCATGTCCTAGTTAATGGGGTTACGCTGTATACAAGGGGATATTACATTCTAGAGGGAATGCCATGTCCTAGTTTATGGGGTTACGCTGTATACAAGGGGATATTACATTCTAGAGGGAATGCCATGTCCTAGTTAATGGGGTTACGCTGTATACAAGGGGATATTACACAGTACCCATCATTCTTCCATGTCAATCACTGTTTTCACTTGGAATATGGGCACAATACCATCAGTATATGTAATGTGAATGATATGGATTGAAAATTTCTCATAATGCCTGAATACTGTATTTATTTGTTTGTTTGTTTTGTATGCATGTCACATTGATCACGATATCTATAAAGGCCCAGTTATGAATGTTGATTGACATTTTTTAATGAACAAATTGGCTGAAAGCATAAAAATATATGAAATTCATAATCTGGTAAATTCATAATCTAGGCTGGACCTTGTCACCCACAGTTACTGGCAAACAAGGATAAGTTGAGCACCGACCTGACAATTGACCAATATTAGCATGTATGAGTGCCACCCACTGGCTCTTGCCATTGTTAGCGAAGGGATCCCAGGTTGTCCGTGATCAAGTTTAGAGCAATGGGTGAAGCGGCGCGTGGCAAACACCGAGTCAGCAAACACCGAGAATCAATTTCACAGCTACACGTGCACTAGCCTACATCTGCTCTACCTTTCACAAACCAAATGGGTTTGCTCATTGCCGTGCACTGCCTACTTCTCGTAAACGCGTTCTCTGCGCCGGTCCAACTTATCCTTGTTTGCCAGTTAAGGGTGGTATTCTGGGATGCTGGCTGCCTTGCTGATAATACTGCTTCATGAGTCAGTGAGTATGGTTTTACGCCACTTTTAGCAATATTCCAGCAATATCTGGAACACTGATGAAGACACATTTAAGGATTGAGAGTCTTAATCCTCAAATTAGTTATAACAATACTGAAATGTTGTACCGGTAATGGTAACTGGTTGGTTTGTCAAACAAAGAGTTAAATGGGTCTTGCCTCTATTCACCACTGACAGATGAACGATGGTGATAAGATAGAAATCAGTTATTTAAAATGACAAAAAACATGAATGTCCAAAACAAATTGAAACGGATGAAATGTGAAAACTGTTTCGTAGTGATTGAAAACTTTACAAACCTCACTGTGCATTATAAAGGAGAGTCAGTTATTTATATTCTGTTTACGTAATTATTACAACTAGTTGTTTTGCAGTTGACTGCAGTAGTACAATGAGTATTATTTTAGCAGTTTAGTCATAGGAACAGGTTTCAGGGTTGGTTTTGTTCAAAGAATTCTACCCACGGATATCGCTGAAATCTCCGTATTTCTAGTACACTCTCCCTAAAGATTTACTGTAAGGAATATCAACTTGTGATTTATGAGACATGACAATGTACCCATGATTTGTAAGTCGGAGAGACTTTACGGGTAAAGAACTGGTCAAAGGGGTTTTCAGTGTAAAGCTACCTCTGGAATATCACCTTCCTGAACGGAGTTTCCGTTTGAAAATAGTTTTGTTGATTTAGTTGTTTTTAGTCCATATCAATCATGGTCCTGGGAATTTGTCTACGCGCCTGTGAAGATGTAATTTATGTTGTGTTAGAAAACTCAAGATTAATTGTTTTTAGTATTGAATTGGTTGTTAAGTTTTAATTCAACTCGACTTGTTTATCATGTTTAGGAAGAGAACTAACCCAAAAATATCTTTGTATTTAAAATATTGGTCCTGCCACTCTTGGCAGTATGATAGGTAGGATGTACAATGAACATTTGGAACAGATTCCAAGGGTTTATGTAGGGATACATTAGAAAGAGCCCTTGAAACAAACATAGAAACTCAAATAAATTGCTTTCAATCAGTTAATCAGCTAATATGTTTATCTCCCAAAATTACTTGACTAGAAAACACAGTATTTACTCTAAGGGACTGTTCTTAATGCATGGCTGTGGGGTGATGATGATCTTTATGGAGGAGCATGTACAATGTGAATGAGCTCCGTAAATTTATGCACAAAGTAAGTGTCCCCCCCCCCAAAAAAAAAATAAAATAAAATAATAAATAAATAAAATATAAAATAGATAAAAATATAAATGAAAAAATGCTGACCC